CAGTGTTCTTGGGTCATGTGAAGTGACCAAAACCTGCTACAACCACCCAACAGACGGGGGGGATAAAAACCAAACACCCCATCCCACCCTTGCTGCCAATCCTCAACAGAAATGCTCACAAGAATGAAAACCTCAGACAGGAGGAAGAGCGCGGACAGGCGGGCAGGCAGGTGTCTTGCTCGACTGTGACTTGGGGGCCCCTTTTTCAGTGCCATTGTAACTTCAAACAGTCACTAAGCAAACTGTTGTAAGTTGAGGACTACCTATACTTCATCACTTTTTTCCTTTTTTGTCATCAAGTTTTTGACACCTTGCTAGGCGACTGGTGGTACTCGGATGCTGCCATATCCTAAAAATGGTACAATGGGTGAAAAGGTTGAAAAGCTCTGTTTTAGAGGATCACTTAAAAAAAAAAAGTGCCAGAAGGATAGAAGCAGATCCATCCTCCCTTGCCCTTGTGCTGGCCTTTTTATTTGCAATTATTTCCCAGGTTTACGGTGCCGTGTTGCTCTCCTGCCCTTTTTGAATCAAAACCAAGGGGCCCGTCTGTCCCGAAGGCTGAAAGTGATGGCAGCTGCCAGAGCCAAGAGGGAGGGTGTCTGCTCACCGGGGCAGCAAACTCATCTTAAGAATGAAATGGTTCTTAACGAACCTCATTGTCCTCATTAGCAGGTAAGCATCTTCCCCAGCCTTCTGCTCTTTGGCTTCATTGGGTTGCTTAATCCAATCTACCGCCAACCTTTCAGGGGGGAATTAGTAGAAGAGGGTGTGAAGCATCCAGCATGAAATTGGGTGTGTGTGTGTGCTGAAGCTTTCCTATCTAAAAATGGGCCCTCTTCTGTACGAATCCTTATCAGCTCACTTGTGCCGTGCTTGTGGGCACAGCCGTGGCAGAGATATTGTAGGGTGAGCCATTCACTCGTCCTTTTGTCATCCAGGATTAAAGTGGGAGGCTGAAACAGGATCTAAACTAAACAGTGAGATAGCTTGGCATCAAGAGGGCAGGAGATGAGATGCCAGGTTCGCCTGGCCTAGAAACCAAGAGAGGGCGAGTTCTAGTCCCACCTTAGGCATGGAAGCCAACTGGGTGATTTTGGGCTAAGCACCAGAAGTCTGTGAGTTGTGGTCCCACTTTAGGCATCCAAACCAGCTGGGTTGACTTTGGGCTGTCAGGAGACAGTAAGTTCTAGTCTGTGTCAGGCATGAAAACTGGCTGGCTGGGTCCAATCACTGGGAGACAGTGAATTCTAGTCCCATCTTAAACATGAAAGCTGGCTCGGTGACTTTGGGCCAGTCACTGGGAGACAGTGAGTTCTTGTCCTCTTTTAGGCATGAAAACCAGCTGGGTGACTTTGGGCCAATCATCAGGAGGTAGCGAGTTCTAGTCCCGCTTTAGGTCTGAAAACTGGCGGGTTGACTTTGGACCAAACACTGGGAGATGGTGGGTTCTAGTCCCCTTGCTTAGGCCTGAAAGCTGGCTGGGCAATTTTAGGCCAATCATCAGGCGACAATGAGTTCTAGCCCTGCTTCTGGCATGAAAGCCAGCTGGGTGACTTTGGCCCAATCACCAGGTGATGGGGAATTCTAGTTCCACTCTAGGTATGAAAACTGGATGGGTGACTTTGGGCCAGTAACCAGGAGATGGTGAGTTCTAGTCCTGCCTTAGGCATGAAAGCTGGCTGGGTAAACACCAGATGGATAGAGGATGAGTTTTCTTCTTGGGGGCCTCCTGGCAAGATTAATCGGTGGTGGTTGTTTTTAAAATCAATCTTAGGGTATTTATTCCTTCCTGTTGGGAAGCTGAATAGTGACTGAAAAGGATGTATGTCTGCAGAAGAGATGCAGAGTACAAGACGGGAAATGAAAGGGGGCGAGGGACCTTGGCGAGTCTTATGGCGAGGAAGAGAACCCTAGCGGAAGAGTCAGATGGATTGGCTCAGGGTGGCCTCCTGTATAACCCATCTTAAGTGCCATTTTTACCAGCTACTTTCTAGCTTCACAATTTGAGAGGACACCCAGGGTGAAGCCGAGCCCAGGTCGCAAAGGACCTGTAATTTTAGGCGCCCCCCGTTTCTCCGAATCCGATGATGTCACCACATCCTCTTAAAATGCATTTGCTGTTTTACAATCTAATCTTTTATACATCCCAGAGAAAATTGACCCAGGCTGTCAATCTCTCCTCTGCTGCTGAAACCGTGCCCTGTCTCCCTCTCCTGAAATGATGCCCTGTTGGTGAAAGGAACTGGGGCTGTATTCAGTTTCCAGATGACAAGCATGACATGCAAATCTGGTGCAGAAAACAACAAATAAAAAAAAAAACCCTTAACCGGCTTCATTGCCTGCTTATTATAGAGCTGTCAAAGCAGAAGCACCTTGATAAAGGCGGATAATGCAGATTTCACAATATCCTAGGCTGAGCTAGGATAAGCTACATGAAGACTGGATAGTTTGTGACTCAGCATTGTGGAAACCCAACTGTTGTCTTGTTCTCACATGTTTTATGAACCAGGTCATCACGTTATGTCAGAATGCAGTCGATTTCTCTGGCCGCAACACGCGATATGAATACAGCTTAGCTTTAGGGTTCAGTCTGATGTGTGAATCCAGACTCTGGATCTGTCTTCCACTGCTGGGCTAAAATACTTCCTGTTCGCATTTACAATGGGCTGCCCCAGTGGTGGGATTCAAATATGTCAGTGGTGGCGAACCGGTGGCACGCGGAGCCCTCTCTGTGGGCACGCGCCATCGCCCCAGCACACGTGGTCTCTAAAAGTTTGCCATCACTGGCCTAAGGCCAGCCAGCCTGGAGCCGCCATTGGGGAGCCCACCATTCCACCCACCAGAGACCCCCTGGATCTCCCCCAACCCTGCCCGGCTCCCACAGGTATCCCTCCCCATAAGCAACATCAAGGTGGCCACGCCCACCCTGGCCATGCCCACCCAATCTGCCATGACTACTACAGCCACACCCTTCCAGTGGCCACGCCCACCCAGTCTGCCAAGCCCACTGTAGCTGCACCCGCCGAGTGGGCCACACCCACCCAGCACCCAGCGATACATAAGTGGGTTTTGGGTTGTAGTTTGGGCACTCAGTCTCTAAAAGGTTTGCCATCACTGAAATATGTGAACAACGGGTTCTCTATGTGGATGCCGCTTCCGGAAGTCCATTCTGGGCCTGGGCAACCCAAAATTAGCTACCGGTTCTGCCGAACTGGTGCGAACCGGCTGAATCCCACCACTGGGCTGCCCTAAATTGCAGATTGTCTGTTTGGAGTGCCAGCCAGCCCCTCAGCTGAGACTCCATTCCCTTTTTACAGCTGAAATATCGTAGCAGTTATCAACTCCTAAATAGATCCACGTTTCTCCAGCTCAACTTTCAGAGATGTGGACTTCAACTCCCACAATGCTGGCTAGAGTTCTGGGAGTCTGTGCATGATGGCTGGAGAATGCTGGGAGTTGAAGTCCATGCGTGATTGCTGAGAATTCTGGGAGTCGAATACATGCATGGATGGAGAATTCTAGGAGTTTTAAGTCCCAGGCATGGCTGGGAAATTCTGGGAGTTGAAGTCTACGCATGATGGCTGGAGAATTCTGAGAATTGAAGTCCACGCAGGAGGGCTGGGGAATTCTGGGAGTTGAAGTCCACCTATCTTAACGTGGCTCGGATTAAGAAACACTGCGACAGTGCATGAGACTCTGCTCCGCTTATTATATTCCATGTTAACTTTCCCAGGTTCACTCTTCCTTGGGGAATAAAACCTTTCTTAAAACCGGAGTTCATTTTGTTTCAACTATATTATTTCTGAAGAGCAAGGAATAGCTCCCCCCCTTTTTTTTTTAAAGAACAAGAACAGAATTCGGAAAGGCAGCCCTGCTGATAACCAGGCTTACCGTAGTCCAAGTGGTACCTCGGCAAAGAGAGGGACGCCTCTGGGGAGATGCAGAACAGCACCTAACCGTAATCACCCCGTTGCCCAATTTGTTCTCCCCGATAATGGAGTACCGCTGATTTGGCGTGATGGAGAGGCCCAGCTTTTGACATACCCAGAGATGGAAGAGACGGCATATTTTTTTTTTATGAGGGCTGAATATCCAACAGAGGCCTTTTATGATTGGTTTCTCTCGTAGTTGGGGGAAACACTGTTCTGCGCTGTCTTTGGCCCGGCCTGGTTTATAGCCCCCTGGGGCGCCGTAGACAAGGCGGGTGATAAAAGGGGGGAAAAACCTGATGTCACTCGTTCCAAACCGCTACCGTAGCAAGATTCTGTTATTTTTTATTCTGATGAAAGGAAGTGCTGGATGGGGGGACATTTAAACTGCATAGTGCAGAGACAGCATGATATATGCCGGGTCCTCCGTACATCAGCTGCCCTCCCTTCTTCTGCATGCACTGGCATGCAAATAATAGCAAAGCACCGCTGAAATTCAAGGCGTATTACCTTAAGACCGAACACCGAAGCGGTAACAAAAACATCCCTCTGGGTCCTGATGCAGAGATGCAGAAGGTTCTGGGTCATGGGAAAAGTTTAAAAAGAGGACGATTTTTTTTTTAAAAAAAAAACCAAATTCCCTCAAACGGATTAGATGTTGGACTAAACACCACAGGTCAAAGAGAGGGAGACACTTTGCGCGGCTCCTAAAATAGTAAGGGATTGTTTATCCCTCCATGTTCCCCGTGCTGCGTTTTGCACCAAAGGCGAAACTGTAATTTGCAGGCTCTTGCAAAGAGACCTAGGGAGGTCCATGAATGAAACTGAGGAGCTGGGGTGCAGAACACACCCCAAACCATCAAAACAAAACACAACAACTTTCGATACAGTGTTAAATCTCCCCACACCCTCATTTTGGACAGTGGGATCCTCTCCTGTTTCTTGAAGGTCAACTTTGTCCTTCGTAATCGGAATCTTCCTTGCCTTGGATGGGATTTGTTTTGTTTTAAATAAGGCTCCCGTCTTTCTCACAATTTTTTCTTCTGCTGGAGAACAAGCGCTCGTGTAAAAAAAGAGCCAATGTTTGTTTATTTTCAACAAACAAAGTGTGTAAATGGCCCAGTGCCTTATTCTTCATTCACTGACTCTTAAGTTAAAAAGTGAAAGTATAAAGAGAAAACATCTGTCCAAACATGAAAGAAGGTAATGCTTGTCGGGGTAGATATCAGCCAAATGAACCACAGGGGAAAAAAATATTTTAGCCTGGAAAGGGTAACAGAACTGGCAAGTAAAAAAGTAGCTAGGAAAGGAGAGATTCATAGGAACCCCAATATCACTTACTGCCCCCCCCTCAATTCTTCCAAACAGCTCTAAAAAGCTCTAAAAAGCCAAGATAACAATTCCCCCAAATATACACAAAAACACAACCAGTTGCTGACACTGAGGATATTGCCGCCAGTCCATAATCAATACAGGAAAAAAAAAACTGGATCTTGAAAAATTTCATTTCATCCTACGGAAAAGGGGGGGAGAAAAAAAAAGAGGTGGTTAAAACAGCTGGGTGTTGCTGCAAAGGAAATTTTAACTCAGTGTTTTTCAAAGTTTGGCCACTTGAAGATGCTTGGGCTTCAACTCTTAGAATTCCCCACTTGACTGGGGAATTCTGGGCGCTGAAATTCATGCATCTTAAAGTTGCCAAGTTTGAAAAATCCGATTTAGAGGGACCTTAAATGTTTCATGGACAGTCTCTGGGCCAATAGTCTCCGGATAGGAAGGAATTATCACACCCAACCCTCCAGTTCAGTGTTTCTCAATCTTGGCAACTTTAAAATACGCAGACGTCAAGGTCCAGAATTCCACACTGGCTGGGGAATTCTGGGAGTTGAAGGCCACATATCTTACGGTTCCCAAGGTTGAAAAACCCTGCTCCAGTTAGTGCCAACTGGTATAAGAAACCCAAACAATTTCAAGACGAAGCCCTCATTGTCTCCAGCAACATCATCTCCCTGCTCCAACTTGAACGGTGGTGCTTAAAAGTAGGTGAATCCTTCTGAATGTTTAATATTCCTGCATAAACATGGCCTAAAACGTGATCTGTTCTCTACATGTCCTAAAACAAGATAAAGGGAACCCAATTAAACAAAAAAAAAAAACCTCTTATAGTTATTGATTTATTGCAGAAGACCATCTTCTTAGCTAGTTTTAGGATGTGTGGAGAACAGATCACATTTTAGGTCATATTTATGGTGGAGTATTAAACGTTCAAAAGGGTTCACATCAACTTTTATGCACTCTGTTAGATGTTTTCTTTCCTCACCTTCCTGTCTCTCTCTCTCTCTCTCTCTCTCTGTGTCTCAGCATTGTGAAGGAGAGCAATTTCATTTTTTAAAAGCAGTCTTTCTTTAACTTCCCACTGCTTTTTACATCTGTGTTTTACCTAATACTAAAAATCTGTTCAAGGAGATTTGGAGAGAATAGCTTCCCAAGCCTTTTTTTTAAAAAACAACAACAACATATAAATGGCATTTGTAAGAGAAGTCCTCTCCTCTTTTAAGCTGCCTGAACTATGAAGTTGGATCGACCTCAAGCAACGCCACGGGGAAGCATTTTAAAAACACTCAGTAGATATACCGAATGATCAGATTCCTCTCCAGACACCAACAGATCAAGGGAAAAAAGTCTGCCCCGTTTTCCCCCAAATGACATATTTTGTGAGATTGTTTACACAAATAGTCCTTGGCTTACGAATGCACTGTACTGGAGCCTAACACGGTCGCAGGTTGTGACAGTCGTAAAACAGGTCACCCGTGTGTGACCTGCCTGGTTTTATGAACTTTTTTTGTGGCGGTTGTTAAGCGACCGCCGTGGCCGTAAAGCGATTGCTGTGGTCGGTAAGTAAATCAGTGGTTTGCTATGGGCTGATTTTGCAAAAAAAAAAAAAAAAAAATCGAATTCAGCAAGCTGAATGAGTTCTGGCTGGCGAACTATGGATCCAAGCCAACAGCCTGGTTCCTATATCATGCTAGGTCATCGTTTAATCATAGTTTGATGCTGGGTTTTTTTTTTGTTTTTTTTTGGCAAAACCCGTCATAAAATGCAGACACATGGCTGAGTGACATTGCAAATGGTTGTAGATACTAGCTGGGTTGCAAGCGCCCAACAGGGCAGCCACTGGAACTTCAGAACTAGTATGTAAGGACCCCCAACGAGGTCTGTTGTAATTTTAAATCAGTGGTTCTCAACCTTTTTAATGCCGCGACCCCAACCGGTCGTAAGTCGAGGACTTTCCCTGCCTGGGAGCGCCGCGCATGCGTGGTTCCGCCCCCTGCACCGGCCGAGGCGTAGCTGGCAAGCGGCAGAGACGGAGCAGGCCGACCACCAGCTGGCCCAGCCCAAGGGAGGTAAGGCACCCGCCGGAAAAGGGGAAAAAATGGCGGACAAAAAAAATGGCGGACAGCCTTGCTTGGCGACCCCCATGAAATGGTCGATCGACCCCAAATGGGGTCCCGACCCACAGGTTGAGAACCACTGTTTTAAATGCTTAAGTTGAGGACTACCGTACTCTTTTACGGAAGTCTGAACTGAAGAACTACCAAGAACGAAGAGATTTTTTCCAGGATTTCAGAAGACACACGTTTACTAACCGGTGCTTCTGCTTCACATTACTAGTGGCTGGCTGTCTCCCGCAATGGAAGGCACGGAGTCAAGGCTGCCTTTGTAGATGGGGGTGCGCTGGCCAGATTCCTCCCTAAAAAGAAAAGACCAATGTTAGCGGGTTCTCCCGTCTGACCCATAAACACACGAACCGAGAAAGACATGGCCTAAGCTGGTCTGGGGAACAAGGCCAAGTATGTTACCGGTTCTTCCCTGCTTGTTTATGCATTCTCACTTCCCAGAGGTAGGTCAATACGTCTCTGTTAAACTCAGTGGAAGGAAGACGCAAAGAAAACCCTCCATAAAAAACAATGGCTCTTTAGAAGAACTGAGGCCTTTGAACTCTGGTGCTGGAGAAGACTCCTGCGAGTCCCCTGGACTGCAAGGCGATCAAACCGGTCAGTCCTGGAGGAGATCAACCCTGACTGCTCTTTAGAAGGCCAGATCCTGAAGTTGAAACTCAAATACTTTGGCCACCTAATGAGAAGGAAGGACTCACTGGAGAAGAGCCTGATGCTGGGAAAGATGGAGGGCAATAGAAGAAGAGGACGACAGAGAATGAGGTGGCTGGATGGAGTCACTGAAGCAGCAGGCGTGAGCTTAAATGGACTCCAGAAGATGGTAGAGGACAGGAAGACCTGGAGGAACGTTGTCCATGGGGTCGCGATGGGTCGGACACGACTTCGCAACAACAACAACAACAAATTCTCTGTACCTAAAGAATCAACTTTAGAGTCTACTTTTTGGGCAAGGAAAAATCATCACAACCAATTCCATCTCTTCTGAGTCTATAGATTAGATTCTGTTTTCTGTGATGACACCCAAGAGCATGAAAAGGAATGGTAGCTGGTGTCCTTGGGTGGGATGGGCCGAATTTGGGGCAAAAAACGGTTTTCAAATCCCTGCCTGGGACCACAGCAGGCATGTCCCCGACCAACGCAGCCCCCAAACCCTACAGAACACTCACAAAGCCATTTTCTTCAGGACTGCAGCCCGGTGACGGGGAATGAGGAAGGCGAAGACCAAGATCAGCAGCAGCAACAGAACGGCTGGCAGCGCCACCGCCAGGGCCAGCATTGGGGTGCTGAGGGACAGCACGGAATCTGGAGAAGACAAAGGGTCAACCACAAAATGGCAACCAGCCCTGGTGCCCTTCACCCGTCTGCCTCCATATACTGGACCGGTATATGACCTCAGGTCGTGGTCTACATGTGATCTATGCGTGATCCTAAGAGATCTACATGTGATCCTAGGAGATGTTTATATTCTTTGTAACACTACCACTATTAAAAGAAGGTTGTGTACAAATTAAGTATGTTGGCTAAGGGACTCTGATCAATTTGAAAGGAATCAATCTGAGGGAAGCCTTAATCACCCCTAAAAACAGTCCTACTGAGGGGACATGTTTTGTGACTCTTTCAACTTTCAGTAAAAGGAACAAGACTTGGCTGATGAAATCTAGATCCAAGCCAACAGCCTGGTTCCTATACCATGCTAGGTCATCATTTAACCATACTCTGAGCAAACCACAAGAAGTTGGCATCATGGCCTACTTACCAGGCCACGGTCTCTATGTTTTACAAACCACCATGGTTGTGTCCACACCGCAAACTAGTCTTAGCTGAATGTATTTTGGCTGACTCTCTTGTGGAAACCCACCTAAGATCTCAATCCTACAATCCTATTAAACAGTAGGATTTAATTTCTAGGGAATCACACGCAGGCCTGGACTGTAGGTATTGTTGTTTGGGGCAGCGGGAAAAGAAAAATGGGCTTGGCTTTGGGTCCAGGGGTCACTGCTGTGGGGAGAAGCTCAGATGTTCCTGGTTAAAGATGATGGATCTCAACACCTGGTGGGCTCTTTTCCTGGACGTTTTCCCAACAAATATGGAAGCTATCAAATGGCCAGACCTCATATTAGATGTCCAAATTCAGGGCTTCTTACCAAAACTAAAGCTGCGCTTGGTGCTCTCCACGAGCAAGCGGACTGATTTTCTCTTGGTCAACTGAGGCAAAGTTGGATGGTGGGCCTGGCAAATATAGGTCCCTGCTTGCTCCTGAGTTATCTTGGAGAGAGTTAAGGAATTTGAGGGCAGGATCCAGTCATCTCCCTGTTATAGGAGGGGGGGAAAGCCATTAACAGAAAACCTTTGATTTACACAACGAAGCTATGAAACTCTTATCAGTTTTCTGACATCTGAGAAAATGCTTTGGGATCGTGTCTATGGAGATTCTCAATCATCTAGGTCAGGGTTAGGCAACCTGGGTTCTTTTATGACTCGTGGACTTCAACTCCCAGAATTCCTGAGCCAGCCGTGCTGAGGGGAAAGGGAGAAGTTTCCATGCTGAGCCGTGCTGGCTCAGGAATTCTGGGTATTGAAGTCCACAAGTCATAAAAGAGTCAAGGTTCCCTACCCCTGATCTAGGTCATGGTTGTCCCAAAGGTGCTGTTCAAAAGGCAACTGGACTTTTCTGGGGGTTTTTTTCTGGAAGATTTTTTGCTTCTCATTCAAGAATCTTCTTCGGTTCTGGTTGAATGGTGGGGAGAGTGCTAACAACCAATCTTCAGAGTGCGAAGAACACAAATCCTTCCATTCTCCACCATTTAGCCAGAACTGAAGAAGTTTCCTGAATGAGAAGTGAAAGGTTTTGAAGAACCCCACCCCAGTTGCCTTTTGAATAGCATTTTGGGAATGATTTGGAAAAGGTTGACCACAGGTACACCTGGAGCAGAAGAACTATGTTTAAAAAAACTTCTCTCTCACAACTTTTGGCTATTCCCCAAAGCACCTGAAGGCAGGACAAGAAGCAACGGAGGGAAACTAATCAAGGAGAGAACCAATCTAAAAAGAAATTTCCTGACAATGAGAACCATTAATCAGTGGAACGGCTTGCCTCCAGAAGCTGTGGGTGTCCAACACTGGAGGTTTTTAAGAAGAGATTGGATCATTGTTTGTCCAAAATGGTATACGGTATCCTGCCTGAGCAGAGGGTTGGACTAGATGACCTCCAAGGTCCCTTCCCACTCTGTTATTCTGTCCTGTTCTGTGCTGAAGTCTTGTTTCTGCTCCCTTACCTCTCGAATCCACTCGTAAAGTGGTGTCTGAGAGGCATCAGCTGAACATTGAAGTTGCAGGTTGTCGCCTTCAACGACCGTCACGGAGTCTCCTACGGTACCACACCAGGAGTTGGACTGGCTGACAAAGACGTTGTGCAGATCTGAGGAAGGGGAGAAGACACAGAAAGTCAGCCCTCCTCCCTTCCCAGCACCCCCACCCCTTCTTAATTCGAAACGCCAGCTTGGTGGGGTTCAGGGTCTCAGTTGCTGGGGCCCAGAAACAGTTTTCCATCTATCCCTCCCCCCCGCCTGCATATATCATTCTGTAAAGACCCAGCACGGCTCCACATCAGTTGCTTCTGCTTCTAAATCTGTCCTGTTAATGGAGCCGTGCTGGTTGAGATCAACCGTGCCTGCGAGAATAATTTTTTCCCACCACTCATAAATGTGCTTTGTATTTCAAATCCCTCTCTTCCCATTCTCGGTCTTCAGCTAAACACTCTACTGTAGATCCCATGGATATGCGGACAGTGAACTGAACTGCAGAAGCCTAGTCTAAGCAGGAATGGGTAACGCAATCTCCTAGTCCTCATCTCCTGTTTATCTACTGCCCTCTGGTGGCTAGAGGGGGGGACTTCCAAACCCCGACATACACTCCATCTGCAAGTCCAGTTTGTCCGAGATGGTGGTGTTGTCAGTGGCATTGAGGCTGGCACAGCGGTAAGGTCCGGCGTGCCAAGATTGGATGTCGCTAATGATCAGCAGGAGGCGCCCGTTGTCGTGATTCACAGCGACATCATAAAACCAGCAACGCAAGTCGTGACTTTGATCCAAAGAGACCCAAGAACGGAGCCACTGGAGACGGGAGAAAAGAACAAGGTTGTTCATGAGCCTTAATTAGCAGAAAGCTCACTGTTCATGGCTGCGGAGCTCTGGGAGTTGAAGTCCACAAGTTTTAAAGTTGCCAAGGTTGGACACCCCTAATTTAAAGCTAAATCTTGTTGGTATTGCATTATGATTTTTACTCTGCCACTTTATATGTACACTGAGAGCTTCTGCGCCGAGACAAATTCTATTCTATTCTATTCTATTCTATTCTATTCTATTCTATTCTATTCTATTCTATTC